CTGGCAGTGTTCAAGGCCAGGTTGGACGGTGCTTTGAGCAGCTGGATCTAGTGGAAGGGGTCCCTGCCCATGGCGGGGGGTTAGAATGAGATGATCTTTAAGGTCCCTTCCAACCCAAGCCATTCTATGACTCTATGAAAGTCATGCTTAGCTAAAACTGGCCCCAAAGAGCTGCTTGGGAAGAAAAATGACCCCATGAAATGGGTTTAACTTGGAAAGCAAGGCCGAACCATGGGGTGTCCAAAGGACAAATGACACCAAGAGACAGCCAGCCTCACAGGGGGTGTTTAACAGCAAGGACAACACTTTCATAGAATCATAGACTCATAGAACCATTAAGGTTGGAAAAGACCTCTAAGATCAACAAGTCCAACCATCACCCCAACACCACCATGCCTGCTAAACCATGTCCCCAAGTGCCACATTGAACCCCTCTGGGGATGGGGCCTCCCCCACTGCCCTGGGCAGCCTGGTCCAATGACTGCCCACTCTTCCAGGAAAGAAATTTTTCCTCATATTTGTGGCGAAGGAAAAGCTCACAAGAGATGGAGTAATATCTGGGAGGAGCGCTAAGAAAAAGCTAGGTGGGGAGGACAGGAATGCAAAAGCAAATACGGCAAGGTGCTCTGCCCACATTTGTTATGGAGGTCCTGAACAAAGCCCAGGGCTTACTTTGAAGAGGATAGAGATTAGCAGATCGGCCGTTGATGGATGGGTGGACTCTGGCCAAAGAACAGAGCTGGGCAGGTTTAATGTAGCCTTAGAACCCTTTCTACGGTACAATGAGAAAGAAGAAGCTCATGAATGTTTTTGTTGGGGGATGGTTCTTGTGTAGAGCGGGAACAAGCAATGGTGGAGCCCTTGGGACATGTTTTTTTCTCCCCTGCATCTTTCCCAGATGGGAAACCAGCCTTCCCTGGCTTTCTGCTCACCGGAAGCAGCTGCCGGGGCTGATCCTGCCCTCGCACCTCGGTCAAAAGCCAAGCAGCCAAATTGCTGGGGGGAGTCTGAGCTTCAAGCATCCCCAGGGTGGGCTTGGAGGCAGCGGGGATGCTTCACCGTGGGTCTTCTGGACCCCAGCTGAGCACACTCATCTTCTGGCAAGTCCACATCAAGAAGCAAGGCTTCTTCTGGCTTTTCATCCCCAAGTCACACATATCTCTACCTTTCCCATAGACTTTCAAAGGGTAGAAAACATGTCCCCTGCTCTGCTGCTGATCCAGTACCTCAAGGCAGCTGTGCTGGAGGCTTCCTTGGATTACCATAGAATCACAGTCTCACGGCATGGTAGGGGTTGGAAGGGACCTCTGTGGGTCACCCAGCCCAACCCCCTGCCCAAGCAGGGTCACCCAGAGCAGGGGGCACAGCACCGTGGCCAGGCGGGGCTGGAATATCTCCAGAAAAGGAGACTCCACAGCCCCTCTGGGCAGCCTGGGCCAGGGCTCC